CTTAGTGAGGGAAAAAATCAACAAAAACAAAAATCCTTCAAAGCAACTGCAATTCACTCAGTGACAGAAGAGGGCGCACTTAACCTAGAAATCTTATTAATCACCAATTCTGTCTGTAGAATTAGTAGATGAGCAGTTTTCATTTAAAAATAAAAGTATAATTAAAGTCTTTCAGTTTCTGAAACACTATATTTAAAACCCACAAACTAGAGGGAAAAAACTAACAATAAATGTAAACAAATATTGTCAAACTATCATTTGAGGGTAAGAGAAAACATCTTGATTCAGAAAAAGAATTTAAAAACACACACAAAGACAAATGGATACAAAGTGGTGAAGAAATGGAACAGAAATGATTGAAAACTTAAAATAAGTGAAGGAAAAAGAAAAAAGTCAGAAAATAAAGATTAAGTTTCTTGATTCCTAAAGAACAGATTAGGGTCAGGTGAGATGCCTCAGAGCCTATAATCCCAGTTACCTAGAGATATTTATTGGAGCTGGTGCTGGTGGCTTGCATCTGTAATCCTAGCTACTCAGGAGGTGAGATTTGAGGATCAAAGTTAGAAGCCAAGCTGGGCAGAAAAGTCCTTGTGAGACTCTTATCTGCAATAAATTACTCAAAAAAAAAAAGGAGGGAGGCTGGGAAGGTGGCTCAGTGATAGAGCGCTTGCCTTGCATGCCTGAGGCCCTGGGTTCGATTCCTCAGCACCACATAAGCAAAAAGAAAAAAGCCAGAAGTGGCACTGTGGCTCAAGTGGTAGAGTGCTCGCCTTGAGCTGAAGAGCTGAGGGATAGTGCCCAGGCCCAGAGTTCAGGCCCCATGACCAGACCCAAAAAAAAAAAGGCAAGAAGTGGTACTGTGGATCAAGTAGTAGAATGCTAGCTTGAGCACAAAGAGGCTCAAGAAACAGTGCCCAGGTCTTGAGTTCAAGCCCCAGGACCAGCAAAAAACAACAACAACAACAAAAAAAAAAACTGCAAGCGGGGCGCCAGTGGCTCATGCCTGTAATCCTAGCTGCTACTCAGGAGGCTAAGATCTGAGGATCGCAGTTCAAAACCAGCCTCGGCAGGAAAGTCTGTGAGACTCCTAATTCCAATAAACCATTCAGAAAACTGGAAGTGGTAGTGTGGCTCGGATGGCAGAGTGGTAGCCTTGAAGAGCTGAGGGACAGTGCCCAGGCCCAGAGTTCAAGCCCCACAACTGACAAAAAAAAAAGGAAGGATTGTGGTTCAAAGCCAGCCTCGGAAGAAAAATTAGCAAGACCCTAGGGATTGCAAAGAGTAAGTCTGATATAGTAGTGTACTCCTGCAATCCCAAGTGAGAAGCACAGATAGGAGAATCTTGGTCTAATGCTAGCCTCAGTGAAAAACATGAGATCCTATCTAAAAAAGTAACTTAAAGTAAAAAAGAACTGAAAGTACAGCTAAAGTGATGAGTGTTTTCTTAAGAATAAGGCCCTGAGTTCACATCTCAATACAGTCAAAAGAAAAAAAGAAAAAGACTAGATTATAATAAGATTTAATAAGGATCACTAAAGAAATACCCTACCCAAAATGTGTGTGTGTATGTGTGTGTGTGTCCTGCTTAGCTTTTTCACTCAAGACTGGCACTCTACCCCTTGAACCATACCTTCACTTCCAGCTTTTTGCCAGTTAATTGGAGGTAAAGGTCTCTCTTATTTGTCTACTCAGGCTGGTTTTGTACTACAATCCTCAAATCTCAGTCTCCTGAGTTAGGAGGATTATACATGTAAGCCACTGGTGCCTGGTCCCTGGATTTTTATATACAGCAAAACTGTCTTTTAAGTCTCAAAGCTCAATTCTATCCATACAAAAATTCAAGGAATACTTTAATCCTGAGGATAGAAGATGATATTCATCCAAAAGATAACTGGGGGAACTATAATAAGAGGACTGATTATTAAGCACAGCTCTATGACTCAAAGACAAGATACAAGAATAATATATACATGGTATAGGTTCTGATAAAATAGAAATCATACAACTGAAAGCTGGGAAGAGAAAGAAAAAAGAAAATAGAATAAGCTAACTGAATGACATACATGCACCATATAAGAGTTTAAGCATGCTACCCAAAACTGGCTAGCAGTGTGAAAAGTTTAACACGAAAACAGGAGACAGAGTATTTTTCGGTGTTAAAAAAAAAAGTAAAATAGTAAAGAAAACATGTCACATAGAAAAAGAATCAGTATATAACACACATACTACCTATAATATAAAATGATAGAATGAGATTGAGTGAAACTTCAGTACTACCAATAATCTGTAAATGGACTTAAATTAGCTATCAAAAAAATTCTATATTCTTCCAATGAAAGACTCAACTATATGCTGTGCCCAAGAGAGACATATAAACCAGGCAGACCAAAGATGTAGTGACAGGCAATAGAACAGCCATTGGACGCCATGAGGGATCAGAGTCACAATTATGATGGAAGACAAAGAGGAAATTCAAGTTGAACCCATTGAATATGGCAAAGAATATTTTAAGGCTAAAAGCTACAATTCACAGCCACAACCTTATGTAAAGCATGAGGAAGATAAATTATCAATAATGGGAGACATTGTAGGGAGATGAATTCTGATACTCACTGACTGAGCAGATTCAAATAATTCCCTTGCTTAGTTACCTGGGCTCAACTTTCCAACAGAGAGGGCAGCCATGGTCAGGCACAAGTTCTTGTTATTCAAGTAGTAACCCAGAACAATTGTTCCCTGGAGACACAGGAGAGTAAACAGTCTCAAGTGTGATGAGACCAAACCTTTGTCCAATCTCAAGTTGGCAGAAACAATACTTAGAACACACTGCTTGAAAGAAATGGACTCCAACCATATTCTAAACAATTAAAATAACCAAGAGCAAGCATTTTGGTATCTCATCATATACAATGAACCATGTGAAGGGCAATATAAGAAAAATAAAGTGTTATAAACCCTTTGGAAAATAATGCTTATATATTTCCCTATTTCTGAGATTTCCCCCTGCTCCCCCAGAATAAAAATTAGTAGCAGGCTAAGCCTTATGGGCAACATAATGTCTCCTTTTCTGATTAAATGGATAGAAAACTTCAGTTCAAATTAATGAGGCACTAGTAATTTATATCCGTTATAGATTTATATCCAATATAAATTATTCTTAATCTTCCTCTTCCATGTTTCTATGCCTGCCCTTGTTTTCTTTCTTCTTCTATTTAGACTTCTATTATCTTTTATTCTGTATATTCATACAAGTCACTAGTTTCTCCTAGACATGACAGGATATAAGTACTCTTTTTTTTAAAAAAAACATATTATATAGTTAATATTAATGTAATAAATTACAAAGGAAAGATCAATAGATTAGACTACCTTGAAATCTAAAACATTCATGTGAAAAGTATAATAAAACTAAAAGGAACCATAAAATGGGAAACGATTGATATAAATATATGTTTGATATAAGTATTAATGCTCTTAGGATATGAATAAATTATATATTACTAAGAACACAACATTTAGTAGATGAGTGAAATAAATACAGATAAAAAAATGTGAATGTTGAAATAACTGTCTGACTAGGCATGGTGGTATATGCCTAATTCCAACTGTTTAAGAGATGGAGGCAGGAGGATCGTAAGTTGAAGACTAGCCTGACTTATGAAAGTCTTACTTTGAAAAAAAAACAGGAACAAAAGAGCGGGGTGTGGCTCCGATGGTATATGACTTGTCTAGCAAGTATGCCACCCTGAGTTCAATCCTCAGTATTGAGAGAAAAAGAAGAGGAGAGTGCAACAGAGACAGAGAAAACAGAGAAAAGAAAACAGAGGCCAGTGCCAGTGGCTCTTGCCTGTAATTCTAGCTACTCAGGAGGCTGAGATCTGAGGATTGTATTTCAAAGCCAGCCTGGGCAGGAAAATCCATGAGACTCTTAGCTCCAACTTACCACCAGAAAACTGAAAGTGGAGGTGTGGCTCAAAGTGTTGACTCCTGCATTGATAACTGGCCTTTCTGTTCCACTCCTAACATTTCAGGAGTCGATTAGTTTGCTCAAGTATGTTAAAGAGTGCCACTTACCTGTCTTCTCATTTCCATAAAGGAAAGAACCATTCCTGACTCACTCCTCAAGGAATAGCAAATATAAGGTTTACTAAATGGTGAGACACTCCCATTTCTTGGGTCACATTCCCTAGTGGCCAGAGTTCATATGTAACAGGCCACCAAACAAGAAGCAGATGCTTGCTCTCTGTGACCTGCCTTAGCTCAAGCATGCACTTCTGTATCTCCAACCTCCAAGAAGTAAATAATAATGACAGTCTACTCACTGTCCTCTCCTAGGCTCGAGCCTGAGACTCGATGGATAAGCCAGGCAAGGGTTCCCTGCAGACACAATTGCCCACATAACCAAACCTCCTTCTCCAATGTAGCATTCACTCATGCTGGAAGGAAGTTCCTGAGAACTTGCCCACAACCGTAATGAATTGAGGAAAGGAAGGGAGGGGAGAGGCGGGGTTAACTTTTCATCCTTTTCCACTAGGTACAAGGAAGTATGGAGTGGACACCAGCTTCTATGTGACTTCCACAAATGGCCTCTCATGAGACCTCTGGCCTCCATGTGAGCCGTGAGTCAATGGAGTCCATGTGCTCACTCCTGGCCCAACCATGAGGCCTCTGAGCTCTGCAGTGCCCAGTGAGGATCATGTTTCAGTCTCCTGCAAGTTGGTTCTAGTTGAATAGCTGTGTAAGGAATAGGGCTGTCTAAAATTGAGGGAAAGAGATAAAAGACCTAAGAGAATTCTCAATCTTGGATTATCAGAGATCTCAAGCAAAAGGGGGAGGGGTGGCAGGGAGAGCCTGTTCTTCATCTAAGCCTTCTATAGCTCTAGCCTGTAGAGAAGGGACTAACTGGCAAGTGACCCCAGATGAAGCTGGTAGTCTGTTAGAACTAGAACCCAAAGCTTCTGAATTCACATAGGAGGAAACAGAAATGCATGGACACCCACCTGTGGGTGCGGTTGTCATGGTTATCTGCACCTGATGCTCACGAGGTCCCAGTCCGGTGATATTCACAGTGTAATCGGTGGCAGGGAACAGAGGCAAACACACTTCCGGTGTGTGTTCCCGCGTCGTCAGGTTAAATGAGGTTGCATGATAAAAGCTATCCAGATACCACCTTTGGCCTAGGACTTTAAACTGGCATGAGATTCAGAGACAATGATATATTAAATATTCTGTTGGCTTGCAGATGTCTAGACCAAATGCAAAGCAGAAATAGAGTAGAAAGTTCTTTCTATGTATGCTCACCCTCTCAGAATTCTTTTCAATACAATAGCAAACTATTTTATCTACCCCCTTCCATTTCCTTTCCAACCATGTATGTGACTAAGATTAAATTGCATTCACTAATGAATCTCAGATGAATAAATACATCTTCAATGAATAGAATGTCAGTCTGTTTTCAAGTAACCCTTTGACACCTGCTTAAGGGAAAGCGATTGCACTGTTGCTAGTGGGCAAAATTCTTTCTGTTTCCTCAGACAAGTTTCCTAATGCAGAGTGCTTCCTCTTTCTGAGGACTACCCCAGAATATACATTGAAAGCAGTAAAGCAATGGGACTTCACTCAACTCTTCCCACAAGAACCCCGGTCCATGGGGTGAAGAGACACATTGCTAACTCAATCATACTTGATCCCTGCCAGTCAAGCAGCAAATATTAGAAGTTTTATTGGAAGCACGTTTGTGAGGATCCCAGAAGTACCGTGTGACCAACTCTTGACCAATCAGTGCATGATCTGATGACAAGTATGTATATATCCCTTCAACTGATCCTCACATCATTGACCGGACCATCTTTCATCCTTCCTCATCATGGCCAATTGCTGAGTCTTCCTCATCCATTTCCAGGTCATCAAAGACTCTGACAACTGGATCCTAAAGATTTTTCTTTCCCTCAACTCCTTGATTTCTTCTTGAGTTCTTGGATAACTTATGTCTCCATACACAAGCCATCAAAAATGATCCTTTGAGTTCTTTGAGTGCCATACTATGAGCTTAATCATGGATTATAATCTTGGCTAACTCCCCTCCAGCGACCCAAAATTATAACCACACATCAGACTCATCATCTGAGCAGCTCCTGCTGAGAGCTGGGAGCACTCACTATATTGAGAACTGAGTACTAGCAAGGTGTGTGTTCACATGTGCTCACGCAAAATGCACATTCTCTTATGCAACTCTTTTTGCTGTTGTTGTTGGGTGTTTGATGGGCTTAAACTCAGGGCCTGGGTGCTATCCCTGAGTTCTTTTGCTCAAGGCTAGCATTCTACTACTTTGAGCCACAACTCCACTTCTAGTTTTCTGGTGATTAATTGGAGATACAAGTCTCACAGACTTTCCTGCCAGGGCCAGCTTTGAACTGCAATCCATAGATCTCAGCCTCCTGAATAGCTAGGATTACAGGTGTGAGCCACTAGTGCTTGGCTTATGCAACCCATTTTTGAATGTCTGCTTCTTTCCAGTGGATTTAAGAAAATTCCATATATTCCTTAATCTTTATCTAACATATATAAAATAGCCACTTTTTAAAAAACTTTATCACCTTAGCCAAAGAGTTAACTAAGTGTCCCAAAACTGTTTGTTGAAGCCATACATTCTTTATAGATTTGAAAATCATTTTTATCCCATATCTTGAATGTGTATCTAGCCCCAAGGATTCTAATATGGAAATTTGAATGTTATGCCTGCTTATAGTTCTTCAGCGGCAGAGCTGGGAATAGGGGCTAACATGTGAAGCACTGGGTTCAGTCCCCACTAACATAAAACCATCATCATCATCATCATCATCAACATTATCACCAAATATTAAAATTCTTTTAATTTCAGTCCTCACCGAAAGCCCCCTCATACCTAATATCCATGTCTAGAAAGAAAATCTTAACTGCCTTGAAATTCACCCAAGTAGTTAAGTGACCAATTCTATGACAGTATAAAAGATCTTCTTACTTGGTATATTCGTTCTGATCCAACTTTCTTAGACTGCTGGTTCAATTTCAAACAAGTTTCATTGGTTACTGAAACATTGAAAGTCCCATCATCTTCTAAGAGATCTCCTTCTAGAATATAAGAACATAAGAAAGATTGTATCATCTTAGCAACACATAACATGGTTACATCCAAGTGAAACTTCAGACTCCTCCATAGAACTGTTAGGGTGTTTAATGGGATGAGAATTAGGTTTAGTATCAAATTCTGACTCTAAAATATTTTTCCCCTTAGAATTTCCTGTGTAGGGTGGCCCAGGCTGGCCTTGAACACATAATCTTCCTACTTCAGTCTCCCAGTGGCTGGGATTACAGATGTGAGTATGCTCTGCAATAAATCTACAATTTCTTAGCTGCCTGGTTTTAGCTAAGTTTTGGGATCCTTCTAAACCTCAGTCTTCTCATCACCAAGTGATCCAGCTTGCTTTCTGTTGAGACAGTCCACGATTTAAAAACTACTGTAAACTAATAAAACTGTGATCTTTGTCGAAACTTATTGCTATCATTTGGACAATCCATCATAAAAAGTCATGAAGGCAAGCCTATTAGTAGCTGAAAGTCTGAGATTAAGGGGAAAGTCTTCAAATAAGGAAAAAGGTAAGTGATATTGAAGACCATGAATTAGAAGTCTCAGGGAGGTGCCTTCCATCCTAGAAAACAATAGAAAGCAGATGACCAGCCAGGAACCTGTTAACTCTCCCTGAAGACAGTATTTCCAGAGCCACTCAGCTAGATTCATCTAATGCAATAAAAGAATCAAAACATAGACTTGTTCTCACTATTGTATAGAAAAAGTCATTTATACCTCCTGCAGTCAAAATCATTCCTGCAGTGTTTTGCTTTTCTTAGTGGAGTCAAAAAGATGGAGCTTCTTAGCCAGGTGTGCTGACTTATACTGCTATAATCCTAGCTAGTCAAGGGACTAAGACTAAAAGGATAGGGGTTCGAAGCCAGCTCAGCCAAGAAAGTTTGCAAGACTACATCTTAATCAATAAAAAGCTTGGTAACATGGTACATAACTGTCATCCCGGCTACACAGGAAGTTAAATGGGAAGGTTGAGATCCATTCTAGCTCCAGACAAAAAGTGAGACCCTATTTTTTAAAAATTAAAGCAAAAAGGTTTAGAGTATGGCTCAAGTGATGCCATGCATACCTAATGAGCATAAAGACAAAAAAAGTCTATCAGAGAGAAACTATCTTGCAACTACCTTTAATATGCATTTGTTTATCACTTACGAAGTATTAATGGTAATAACAAATCTAGCCAAATATCGGGATTGTTTATGGCATCTTCAATATCACTAGCAGGCAGCACAAGGCCATTAGCAAAGAGGAAATATTCCTAACTATAATTAGAAAATGTAACACTATGATATGAGAAAGGACATGAAGACCTATCATATGTGTTTGTTTTTCACCTTCACTATTTTTCTTTGAAAGATTTCATAAGGACGTCAAAGAAAAAAATATACACATGCATGCACATAACTTTAAGGAACACAAAAGGTATGCATATAAGACATGCATGGGCCGGGCGCTGGTGGCTCACGCCTGTAATCCTAGCTACTCAGGAGGCTGAGATCTGAGGATCGCGGTTCAAAGCCAGCCCGGGCAGGAGAGACCGTGAGACTCCTATCTCCAATAAACCACCAGAGAACCGGAAGTGGCGCTGTATGTAGCTCAAGTGGTAGAGCGCTTGCCTTGAGCTGAAGAGCTGAGGGACAGCGCCCAGGCCCAGAGTTCAAGCCCCACGACCAACAAAAAAAAATAAGACATGCATGGATGAAAAGATGTAAGAAATAACACAGAAAGTCTATGTCTCTCCACACACCAACCCAAGCAGGATACTGTGTGCGCAGTTCCCAGTCGAGATTAATTTTCACATCACTTAGCCATTACAGTCAGAATTCAAGGAGGATGGTAATGTGAGCAAAGGGATCTGGCTTCCACTTCCCACGCCCACTCCGACAGAAGTGACTGAGAATAAGTAAAAATGGGTCAAAATTTGCATCTGGGTTTTAAAAAAAAAGGTTAGTTGCCACACACAAAGCAGAAGCATGAAGACATTTCTGCTTAGCACAACACAGAAGAGAACAAGCTAAAGGGAGACATTTCAGATTGAAAAGGAAGAGAGGAGCCCATGGAGGAGTCAGACAGGGTACGGGACAATCAGCAAGGAATGTTCTTATGAAGCCATAGCCCAGTGACCCCCAAACCTAACTGCACCTCCGAAGGATGTGTCAATGTGAGTATGTGTGTGTGTGTGTGTGTGTGTGTGTGTGTGTGTACAGTTCTAACTGCACCTCCAAAGGATGTGTCAATGTGAGTGTGTGTGTGTGTATGTGTGTGTGTGTGTGTGTGTGTGTGTGTCCACAGTTCACCAGGCAATTCTAACAAGCAGCCAGGGCAAGCTAGGACCTGGTGGCTCATGCCTATAATCTTAGCTACTCAGGAAGCTAAGATTTAAGGATCATGGTTTGAAGCCAGTCTAGGCAGGAAAACCTATCAGACTCTTATGTCCAATTTAACCACCCAAAAGAGCCAGAAGTGGAGCATAAGTCTTGAGCGAGAAGCTAAGGGACAGTACCCAGGCTCTGAGTATTGTACAAAAAAAAAAAGCCAAGGCAAAAATTACATACACTACTATTACTGCTGATGACAATAATAACAGTCATTGCTTAGCACACCAGAAATCTGCAACAAGGAAGGACTTCACAGTAGAAGCCTTTAGATGTAACGGTTCCACTGACAGAAGGCCTGGGTTGACAAAGTGACTCACAGCTTTGCTAACACAGTGCCGCAGCACCACAGTGAAAGCAGGCAAGGTTGAGCTGACCGGAGGCCAGGGGCTTCACCAAGACAGCAAGGTGCTCAGAAGTAAAGTTCAAGGGGATGGGCTTCCCTTCACAGCTGCTTCCCAAAAGAAGGCACACACCCTCCCCCCCAGCAGTAAACCCTTCACAAGGAGAGCTAACATAAGCACAGTAACATTCACCAATAAGATGTGAGATCAACAGAAGGCAATCTATTTTATTCAGAAGGCAATATCAATCATAGATAGAACTTTTACCTTCCTAGGATAAGTAATCAGGAAGCCCTTCTCCCCCAAAATACCTATGAAATTATTCTACCCAGGAGAGGAAGAAGGAGGCGGACATACTTGGGTGACACCTGGATTGATAAACATAAACATAAATGGAGATGAGTGATGGTAAAGTTAGGTAACACCTATTTTGTACTTTCATAAAACCTGTAAAAATGGACTCCAGATAAAGAATGAGGTGACAAGAGAATATAATAGCAGAGAGGAAGTTGGATGAAAGGCAGAAATAAAAATGAAATGAGACCTGGAACCTAAATGAGACCTGGAACAAAGAAAAAAAAAAAAACGAAAGTAAGCAACTAAACTTGAAGTGTGTGAGAAAGGATAGACTGAAAATGCGAGTGTATACATGCACATTTGCATAAATGCGTTAAAAGCATGGAGAACGGAAGCTTGCTATATTTTCCTGAAAGACAGAGGACAAAGGAGGAAACCAATGTCACAGCTTCATCAAACTTCTCTTTCAAAGCTTTAAGTTGCCAAAACCAATGTGAATCACTACAGAATTGTAAGAACAGAAAGTTGTGATGACATGAGTTTTATCTTTACTCCATTCTATTCCCACAAGAAAGACATTCTCGGATGATCACATTTTCTCAGTGAGGAATAGACTAAAGTCATTGTTCTGACAGATAAATAAATATAGAAATAGCAACATCAAACTGGAAGAGAGAATTGAAACTATTAAACATATATCTGATATTAAACAGCTGTTGTAAATATTCCTATAACATTTTAAAAGTACAAATGAAGCGCCATATTAGGTCAACAATGTAAGGAAAAAGAAAGGAGAGAAAATAAAAACAAAGAAAGAATGCTCACTTCCTTATCTATTTGGGAAGAGATTAACCTTGTTTCATTCTTAATATCAGCTATCAGAGAAAGAGGCTCCCAAATCATTTTCTTTAATGTGATTGATTATAGAATAAAAACTAAATTTGTACTGTCTGGCTGTCTGAGGAAGAAATCTGTGCAGCAAGAGACAAAACAAAAAAATAGAGTAACATTAAAAGGAAAACTAAGATGTCAGAAGGAAGGGAAATGATATCATCAAAATAATAATATAAAGTGAACTCAGCCAGAAAGGCTCTCTGCAGATGCTACCTCTTAGAATACACCGAGAGCAATAACCTGGATAACTTTGGAGAAAGGGAGACAATTGTTTATCATACAAATGCAAGCACAAAGAAATCAGTTAAAATAAACTAGTATTGCTAGCAGAGCATAATTCAAGGCAAACAATATTAAACTAGATTAAGTGATCCATTCATGTCTAGTAAGACATATATCCCATCTCAAGAAATAAATTTAGCATTGTGGAGTATGCCTCTAGTTCCAGTTACACAAAAGCTATTGGTAGATGGATCAGTTTGAGGCTGGCCCCAGGCTAAAAACACCAGAACCTATCTGAAAAAAAACTAAAGCACAAAAAGGGCCAGGGGACATGGCACAAGTAGTAGAGTGCCTGCCTACCAAACACAAAGCCCCATTGAGTTCAAACCCCAGGACTGCAACAAAGAAATGACTTCTAGGTTGACTATTAAAGAAAAGTGTGCTGCAAGGCTAACTTCCACTGCCCTGAATCACTGAGAATCAACCGCATCATCACCTTTCAAACACCTTTCTATTATCTGCCACTCTTCCCCAAGCACTTTGCAGAGAAACAATACACCAGTGCCGTTCATTCTTGGGCCCATAGAATGAGAGTGTGTCCTGCTAGACCTGCTCTGGTTCTGACCTCTGTAACCATATCCCCCTCACACACACAGCAACCCCAACTCAGCACAAACATCAGAAAGCAAATAGGAATTCTCCCATCCAGTTAGTGCTGAAGCGTGACCCCACATCCTGTGTTCAGTATCCTTTAGGAGGAAATGACACTTCCCCTAGGCCTGCCAGCAGTGTAAACCAAGAACAGTGGGCCCAGGGTGGCTGGGAAGGGCTGTGGAAATGCTCACAGTGGAACTG